GTGTGTGTGTGTGTGTGTGTGTGTGTGTGTGTGTGTGTGTATAGGAGGTTGTAGCTTTTTATAATAAAATTTTAAATTGATTAGTTTTTTATTAAAATAATTTTTAGACAGCATATTATGATCATGTTTGCCCAAATCCTCCAAAATCCCACTTCTTACACCAGGTATTGATGAATACGAATGGAATCCGAGATAGGTTATTAACTGGTAATTTATCAGGAAATACATACTCACACAAGGAATCAGTAAACAGGGTTGGTGCTCCAAGCAGTCCAATGCTGGCTGAACCCCAAAAGAGAGAGAGAGCACCCGGGGGCCCCTCCCCGGGTGCTCTCTCTCTCTCCTTATCTACATCCTTCTGTATACCTGTGACCACGCCCAAACAGGTGTAGTCACAGGTGCAGGTAGTCAGGGTCTCTCCCTACACTCCTAACCTCCCTGTCCGCTCAATTTCATGTTTTCTTTTCTTTCAAAAAAAAAAGTCAAACAAACAAAACTCAATTAAACAAAAATAATACCACAACAAAAAGCCCACAAACAAATGGAGTTTATTTTGTGTTGACCAACTACTCCAGAGCATGGACCCGCCCTAGAGCATGGAGTAGGATATACCAAGTAACACTCCATTAGAGAAAACTGATTTTCCCTTTGCCAGTGAGTTTCCATTGTAAATAACTTCTTGGTTAGGGGTGAGACTCTGCCTGGCTCAACCCGTCAAGTCTTGTGTGTGCTGCCACACTCTCTGTGTGTATGGTGTGTTTTTGTTTCTAATACCAACATATTTTGTGGTTAAGAGGAAGGTTTTTCTTGCAGATATGAAGGAGAGTACAGCCCAAGCCAAATGGAAGCATCCAGAACAGGGAGAGAAAGTAGTAGACTGAACTGGGTCGTGAGGAAAGAGGGGAAAGTAAGAGAGGTGGACCAAGGGAGAAGGCAAGGAATAAGGGCTCAAGAGAACACCAAGAGGGTGCATGGCTGAAATGAGGGGGTTATATAGGGTTGAGAAGCAGGGGGAGGAAAATTAGTAAGCTGGAGATGGCTAGGGTAGATAGTAGGATGAGAAAAGCCAAGATGCCTGTATGGATGCTGTAACAGGTATTTTCAGTGCTGAGAGAAAAACAACATGTAGTATTTTATTCTGGAAATTTTTTTTTAATGTTCTCATCATTTAAAAAAATTAGAATACATACAAAAAGCAGACCATAGAGTCAGAGACAGTCCCTGCTCCCACAGTTAGGAGAGCAGAGCCCAGAAACAGAGCCACATGCATAATATTTAAATTTTATAATACAAGTGAATTATTTTTATAAGCAGAAGAAACAATCAAATTGGGCTTTCATATTGGAAAAATAGATGTAGAGAGAGCAGCAAAACTTCTTGGTTTCTTTCTGAATCCCTGCTATTCGATAAAAGTGTTTAACCTCCCCAGGTTTTAGTTAATTTACCTGTGAAATGAGGCCAATTACTGCCCCTGCCTCATTCAGCTATGGGGCATTAAATGAGTTATATCTTCTTTAAAACCAAGAGGGTAGGAGTCATAGACTAATGGCTAACCCATAGTAAGTATTGCACAAGTGTGTTACAGAGTGAGTGACAGGTTGCTTGCATTCAGAGGATGCTCAACAGCCCCCTGCCTGCTCTGCCTCTTTAGGCCACGAAGTTCTTCTGATAAAATGAGGCAACAACGGTGCAACCTGAAAGTACCAGCCTAGTGAAGAGGAGACCAGAGAAACGCCTGCTCTGCCGAGTATCATTTGGCAAAGATTCTAATGTGCTCTGCCATTAAACCATGTACAGACATGGATTTGTGAACTAGTCCAAATGCTGTCAAACCCACATGGAAACAAGAAAAGGTGAGATGAAGAGGGGAAAAGGAATGAGAAAGAAGAAAAAGAGAGGGGGAGAGAAGAAGCACGTGAAGAAAGAAGGAAAAGTTGATGACCTGAGTTCGATTCCCCAAGGCTCAACATGATGGAAGGAAATAAGATGCCCTCTGATCTCCGTGATATACAGGCGCAGGCACGCCCGTGTGTGTGTGTGTGTGTGTGTGTGTGTGTGTGTGTGTGTGTGTGTGTGTGTGCGCGTGGTGTGTGTGTGTGTATGCAAATACACACAGACACACAGAGAGAACAAACATAAATAAATGATTAATGTTTTAAATGGAGAGAGAGAAAGAAGGAGGAAGAGAGGAAAGAAAGCAGCCCTGGTGTTCCTTGTATATAGGGCAGAAGTTTGGCCAACCCTGGAACACCTGCTCAAGTGTTCTGGCCAAGCCAAAGCAAACCAAAACAATTAAACCACTTGTATCTCCTCTCTGTTTCTCCTTCCAACAAATGGAACTTCACAGACTTGTTCTTGTTCTGAAATTCACCCCTGACAAGATGTTTTTCATTCCTTTGTACACAGAGACTGTTTCAAAGTACTTCCCAGGTTAGCCCACAGGACTCACCAAGACAGAAGAAAGCAGGTAAGGCTGGAGACATGGCTCTGCAGCCCGGTCCTGAGTCCTGTGGCCAAGCAGGGAAGCTGTAGTTGCCTGGAACATAGGCACAGGATGTGATGAGGGTGAAGAATTCCCTCCTCCCCGATTCCAGAAGCCCCAGCTTTCCTAATTGAGAGACATCAAGATGGGGCCCTCTCCTCAGTAGGATGACTTGCACACAAGCTCCTGACGTCACCACTTATCTCCTCTTGCCAGCTGTCTGCCTGCAGGAACACGACCTATGTCCTAGACTCCCACAAAATTCCTCGTAGTCACTGGGAAAGGCTGGTCCAAACTTCATATGTCTGTCTTCGTTTGGTCAGGTTCAAAGGCTATTCCAGTTCCCCAAACTCCAAAGGGCTGGGGATGTGTCCAGAAATGACTTTCTTGGCTCAACTCAAGCTGGACTACAGAAGGATCCTCGTGGTTAGATAAAAACCAGCATTCCTCAGAAACTTGTGAAACAGTCCCAGTCTTCCAAAATGAGCCATCTCCCTTACTTCTGGGGGAGATATGGTTTAACATTGACATATACCTATGGCTGCCTATCAAAGCCCATGCTATCCTATAGGCTTCCACAGTCCATATTCACAAATACCTATTATAATGCATTTAAAATCCCTCGAACTAGCATCCTGGCCCTTCTCACCTTCCCAGGCTTCTCTTCTCCTGCATAGCCATTTGTTCTCTACATAACAGCAAAGTTTACCCCTCTCCACCTCTCTCCATTGCTGTCTCTACTGTCCTCTGCTATTCCCACTCTCCTAGCCCCAGCCATGTCCAGTCTGTTTCTTTTTCTGCCGACTCTGGACTCTTCCAGATACCTCTGGATGTTCTCTCCATCTTGCTCACAATTACCTTCCCTCCTAGTGGAGTGGCCATTTAGTGGAGTGGCTTCTTTATTGTGCCTTCCCCAAAAACACATATACCTACTGGGTCATTATAATTCCAAAATGTGAAAAATTATATACCTCATTCCTAGACGACAGAGAGATTGCTGAGCAGTTAAAAGCACTTGCTGCTCTTCGAAAGGACCTTCATTTCAGTTCCCAGCACCCACATTGGGTTGCTCTCAACCGCCTGTAACTCCAGCTCCAGGGAATCCGATGCCCTCTTCTGGAGTCTGCTGTCACCTACACTAATGTGTACAAACTCACATACACACATATAATTATTTTTTTTAATTTTCCATGCCATAATTGATGAGCTTTTGGCAGGCAACGGCTGCTGATAGAGGGAAAGTCATCTTTCTTCTGCGGTTTGGCCCATGGTAGGTTGCCCATATTTCAGGGTGTGTGGGCAGCACTAATTGGATTTAGCAGGTTATAAAAAGAAGAGGAGGGGGGAAGAGAAAGTGGCCGGAGACAT